CAGATTTTGAATAATGAAGTTATGATTTTGGCATTCACGTTCTTCATGTTTACGTTCTTCATGTTCTTCAAAAGGAAACCCAGATTTTCCAAACTTCATTTCCCTAAGTGTGGTCACTGAGACCCACTCTTGCCTAGATCTCACACCTAGGCCAAGCATCGTATCTCACCTTGGCCTACCTTGCATGATCACTAGCACCTTAGTCTATCTTGCATGCTTGCATGTACACCTAGGCCTAGGAGACCACACCTCGGCCAAGAGGTGTGGAACCTCGGCCAAGACCTAGTTGGTACCCAGCATATTTTCCCGAGATGAAAAACAATGTTTTAACTCCCAGCACATGTTTTGCTTTGTCTTGACTTAGTTTTGAAAAAATGCCGGGATCATTTACACTCATATAAAGCTTGTTTTAGGGATGCATTGTGTAGCCATCTTTTGAGCATTCCTTCTTGTCTTCTTGAAATACATTCAGTGGACCTTGCCATATATTTGTAGGTCTTGGATTCTTGCCTTAATCCTTACACTCGATGAGTTATGCGAGTGGTATTTTTAATAAAGCTATATTCTAATGTTTTGATAAAAGCTTTGCTTGTTTCGTTTTGAAAAAGTATTTGTTCAAGTATGAATGATTATTCCTAGTTTTGTATCAAATACTATCTTGTTTTGATGACATTCTTGGAAAGTCCTTAGTGCTAGGGGACTATAATGCAACTAGTACCCTTGTTTGAGATATCTCCCTTGCCACCGACGGTCTTGTACGGATGGGTTTGTCTGATCAATTTCGGGTCAATTATTCCCTTATTTTGTCAGGAATGTCATCCCTTGTATTATGTTGATGCTAGTAAGCATCCCTTGAAGTTTTGAAAGACTTGATAAATGAACTTGGTTCATCCCTTGATTTTGTACAAGATATGCTATGTATTGTTTTGATAAAGATCTCGAATATCATTCATTCAAACCTTTATTACTAATATCATTCACTGAGTATCTAAGCTCACCCTCTCCTCTATATATATGTAGGTGACGAGCTAGAAGGTGGCGACACCTAAGATATTATTTGCAAGATGTTTTGGATCCATGTTTTGTTAGCATCTTGAAGATCATGCTTCTTAGTTGTAGTTTGTCACTTGTATATATCGGCTTGAGAAGCCTTTTGATCAAGATGTATCATGTACCTTGTTTTATTTGTATTCAAGTTATAAAACCATGTCATGATGTATGTCATTTCATTTGACTTATGCACACCTCTTATGGACTAATTAGATTTAAATTATTGCTTCTGCACATGTAAGCCCCATATGTATACTCTGATTGTGTGAAACTTTCCAAGTTGGCCTTTGGTAATCTCGAATTACTGGCCATCATGGCACCATTCTACTAGGGGCGGAATGGGGTTGTGACAGTCTACCACTGACAAATGCTGACTGCACCTCACTGATCATAGCTGGAAGAACCTGCTTCATTCTTTTGGACAACACCTTGGCCAAGATCTTATAAATGGAGCTGACCAAGCTAATTGGCCTAGTCTCCCAATCCTGAAGAATCATCCCTCTTAGGTATAAGCACAATGAATGAACTATTAATCCCAGTTGATAGTTTAGCATTTGTGTGAAATTCATGAAACATTTGAACAATCTCACTTTTCATAACAGGCCAACACTTTTGAACGCATGCTAGATTAAAACCATCTGGTCCTGGGGTCTTGTTCCCATCACAATCTTTAAGAGCTACCCAAATCTCATCTTCCGAGAACACTGCTTCCAAGTTAACTGCTGTCTCTGAGCTGATAATGTCAGAAGGGCCTGAAATCCTTGGTCTCATGGACCAATTCTCTGAAAATTGTTGCCTAAAATGCCTAACCACAGCTAGTTTAATCTGAGCAGGGTCCTCAAAGCACACCCCCTCCACACAGACTGAATCTAACAAGGTCTTTCTCCGTCTCCTACTAGCCATTATGTGGAAAAACCTAGGTAGCGTTTGGTAGAGTTTTGTAAATGTGATTTGAGAGTATGAGTTGTATTTTGAGTTTGTGTGTTGTGGAATTATGATTTGAGTGTAGAAAATTTGTTTGGTAAAGAGTTTTGAAAATAGTTTTGGAAAAGAGGTTTGATTTGAGTGGGAAATTATTGATGTGACATTTGATATGTGATACAAAAATTTACAACTCATAACTAAATATACAATTCAAAATTATTTTAAAGCACATAAAAAATTTAAAAATTTTCAGAAAATATTTGTCCCGATTATGTAAATCAATTGCAAAAAAAAAAAAAAAATCTGGAAATCAGCCGGACATCCGGGTGGACATCTGGGTGGTCTACCGGGTGGACATCCGGGTGGTCTACCGGGTGGTCTTCCTTTGGACAGAAAACACGCCTGTGTGCACAGAGTTCTCTGCAGAGAGTGTAGAAAATTGATTTGAAAACGTAACCAAACATCATGCTCCAAAACACACGTAGAAAATTGATTTGAGAATACAAACAAATAGAGCCCTAGTGTTTTTATCACCATTTCCAGCCCAAAGCATTCTGGACTTTTGATGTCACAACCTCTCTTTATCTCTACTTAATTTCCACACCAGACTTCTAGCTTCTCTTCTTCTTCTAATATCCTCATCAGCCAGAGACCCAGATTCTGCCTTCAGATCCCAATCATGCAACTCCTTTTCAGCTGACTTTAAAAGAGAATCAATATTACCAAACACCTCCTTGTTCCACACCCTTAAATGAGATCTTAAATATTTCAGTTTCCTCATGAGTCTAAACCCTGCCCATCCTGACACATGATTGTTTTCCCAAAGCTGTTTAACTCCAAGCATAAAGGTAGGATGTGAAAGCCAAGGATTTAAGAACTTGAAGGGTTTGGGGCCCCAATCCCTTTCATCCTCCTTCAACAGAATTAGACAGTGATCTGATATGGTTCTAGGCAAACCCCATTGCTTAAAAGAGAACTTTTCTAGCCACCTAGAATCCAACAAAAATCTATTTATCCTGCTCCATCTTTCCCCATCCAATGCATTACACCAGGTAAATTGTCTACCTAACATAGGCAGATCCGTTAATTCCAATTTGTCAATAAGCTCAATAAAATCCTTCATTTCCCTCTCTCTTCTTGAACACCATTTCCTCTCACTGTTGTGAACACAATGTAAATAATATCAAATGGTCCTGAATTATCTAATAATTTTTCCTTCATAGCATCTCCAAGAGGATAGTTAAAAAAAACTTGTTAAGCATTTTAGCCAATATAACTCTAATTTTGAGCTCCAATGGGCTGGCTATTGGGCTAGCTACTTTACTATCTTACTTTTTTGGTGGCTACAATTGAAGAGCCCCAGAGGCTCTCTAAACAAATATGTATGTATATATCTTGGATTTTTGTATATTTATGTCTTGGATTTGGGATTTTATATATTATATATGTGTGTGTGTGTGTGTGTGTGTGTGTGTGTGTGTGTGTGTGTGTGTGTGTGTAGTAATTTTATATGTTCTTTCAATTCTGTTTAATGAATTACGAAATAACTTATTTTGTATTTTGTATTTTCTTTTCTCCTCATTCTACAAGTTTATAAGTTTGTATGGGCAAATTTATTATTATTACAAATTTGTATTAGTAAAATACCAGCAATTAGTATTTTTTGTTTTAAAATTAATTAAGTTAGTTTGAATGATTAGCTAAAATAAAGAGTGTGATTGGAGAACACAATAGCTAAAATAATTAGATAAAATAAAGAGTGTACTTTTTTCATACGGCTAGTGAAAAGTAGAGAGTGTGATTAGAGTTACTAATTTGGCCCCCTTTTTCCTTCATAAAAGAGCTCTATTTATCCCCCTATCCAACGGCCCCGTTTGGTGTAGCTGTTAAAACAGCTTCTAGATTATACCTTAACAGATTATAGATTATGACTTTAATTAGAAGTTGTTAATCTGTTTGGTGTAGTTGTTGAATTATAGATTTAAGTTGCTGAGTAGTGCTTGTTAAATAAGCTGTGAAATAGCTTTTTCAATTAATTTTTATTTTTTGTTTGTCTACATTTCTCATAAATAATAATAATAATAATCTATAGTCCATTTGAGTCTTTTTCTATTTTTAAAAAAATAAAAAATAAAAAAATTTAAGAGTATAACCATAAATTAACATGTCCACAGCAGAAGTTGATAATCAGAAGTAAGGGGTGAGCAGCTTCTCAGAATCAGCTTTTTTGAGTTAAAATAAGCTGTTAGAATCAGAAACTGTTTGAAATAAGTTTAACCAAACAGTCCAAAATAACTTTTTCAAAGCTAAAAGTCATAAGTTGGCTCTAAAAAGCTGAAACGAACACCTCCTCTTTTGCTAGCTATAGTAATACTCTCTCTCTCTCTCTCTCTCTCTCTCTCAATGACTCCTGCCTATCTGAACTCACCACCTTCACCTTTTCCTTTCCTAGAGCTGAAAGATGATCAACAAATTTCACTTCTTCATTCCACGACACCAAGCTTTATCTTCTCTCGCATCCTCTATTTTTTTCATTATAACCCAAGATCAGACACCAAGTCAGCCTGGAGAGTGCCAAAAAAATCACCAAAAGGCAAGAACAATTCAGTTTATTTGACTAGATTAGAATCTTCATCTTCTATATATACACTTTTTTTCAAAAAAAAAAAAATCTCATCTAGTGTCTTTAGGATTGCATGTCTCATCCCTTGATGATCTTTTATGATCTTAAGCCTCATTTGGAAATAGATTGTTTTAGGAACTTTTTAGTTTTTTACGAAAATATGGACAGAAAAGTAAAGAGAGTGATATGATAATTTAAAATAACTTTCTAATTTTTTGACTAAAATATATAGTTAACAAATGAGGCCTTAGGCTCTAATAATCACTTCCCATGATGAGTCTTTCCGTAGTTTTAAATCCACAAGTTTTTCATATCATCATGATCTTCACCCAATAATTATCTTATGTGGTCATAGGGTTTATAGTAAGTACTATGATTTTTTATTTATTTATTTATTTATTTATTTATTTTGTAATTTGACCTCTCAATCTCTTTCTTGCTCTTAGGCTGACAAGCACATTTTCAATGCTAGATCAACCGATAATTGAGTAATACAATCTTCTTCAGTTTATCTAACAGTTGATAGTACTGAAGACAACGGTGAATTATCTGTTTCCAAGCTTGATGATGAAGATCAAAATAAAAGAGATAAGGAGTCACCAAAGTGTATCTTCAAAGATGAGGATGATGCGAAAAATGATGAACACGGGTTGCGTTGCGAAGGAACTGATGAGCAAGAGAAAATCGCGCATAATAAGTTTCATGATCAGCAGCATGGCAATATTAGCGAAAAAAATTCATCAAACAACAGTTGCAACACAATTCATCATTAGAGTTTGTTCTGAATGCAACACAACCAAAACCCCTCTTTGGAGGAGTGATCCTCAAGGTCCCAAGGTTACTTTTCTCTATTCCCTCCTTAATCTAACTATATAAGCAAGGAGTTTTCTTAAGTGTGCAAGTGCACACCATGTGCCACTTACACAAAAAGTGTAAGTGTAAGGTGTAAGTATAAGTATAAGGTGTAACATTTTTCAAAAACGTTATATCTATTTATTTCTATAAAAGTACTTAAAAACCTTTTTTGTTTTTCCTTTCCATTTTAAGAAGAAAAATACCTAATTATTGGGGAAGTTTTTTTATGGTACTAAATTTTGGTGCAGTCACTATGCAATTCATGTGGAATTCGACAGAAGGCAAGACCGGCCATGGCAGCTGCAAATAATGGAATGGTCCTTGCCCCAGACGATTCAACAACAAGGACTAAGATGCAAAACAAGGAAAAGAAAACGCGTACAAGCTACAATACATGGCACAGTATAAGAAACCATTCAAACTCCCCAGTTCTTCTCAAAGCGGGGAGAAGATTTCTTTTGAGGATTTTGCCTTGAGTTTGAGTAAGAATTCATCTTTTCGGCGAACATTTCCAAAGGATGAAGAAGAAGCCACGGTCCTACTAATGGCTTTATCTTGTGGCCTCATTCTTAGTTAAATTTCTCAATTTTTGATTTTTTTTTTTTTCTTCTACTTTTTGTCTTTGTATTTTGTTTTTGATGTTGGGGAAGTAGAGGGAGAGAGGGTTGAGATCACAATTATGAGATCTTCAAGGATGTTGCAAACCAAATGTGTTGCTTCATTCTACATAGCCAATAATCTTGAGATCAATAAATAAGATACTAAATTATTTGAGGTTCTCGAGCTTTGTTGAATTTTCTCTTATCTCTTCTATAGTCTCTCTTGAGTTTTGTTATAATATTTTGTGATTTTGTGATTAAAAATGAAGAGTAGGGTTTTTCATTTTAAGAACTTCAAACAATGATGTTGATCTTCCTAGCTACTTAAAACAAATATGCGTGTGCATGTGCCCAAAAATTTTATTTAAAAAACTATTTAGAATTTTAGTGTATAATGTAGGTTGATGTTTGGTGTGGCACAAGTTACACTTGAGTTGAATTTGATTTACACATTTTAAATTATGAACTTTTCTTAGCAAAAATATTTACGTGTACTGAATGAATTGCTTGCAATCCCGGAGCCAAACCTCAAAGTGCAATGTAGTTTTTTCTCAATTCTGACTAAATAACAATAATATCAATAAGACTTCATTTCATGATTCCCATGCCATAATCAGTTGTTCTTTGAGCTTGTTTAGAATATTGCATTTTTTTTATATAAAAAAACTTCCCATACCCAGCTTTCAAAAAGTTAGTTTTTTAGATTTTTTGAACTAAAAAAAATAAAATAAGCGAAAATCTAAAAAGTTGTAGCAAACACACCATTTGAAAGATTTCTTCTACTTATGTGCTATTTACAATAATAGAAAGTCACGTCTTAGAGGAATTCCTTCTGAGAATCGTTACCAAAGCAAGTCCTTCAAAGGCTTTCGGAGCTGCTCTTCATAGGCAAACGTGACATTTGCGATGCTACATAAGATGGGTTCAAGACTATGGGATTTTTTAAAATGCTAAAAATCCTAAATTTTCCATTAAAAGTTCTACCAAACAAAATATAGATTTTACATAAGTATGGGTCCACACTCATGCGAGTGTTTAATTAAAATTTAAGGTCTCGTTTGAGAACAGACTAAAAAAAAACTAGTATGTTTGATATGACTTTTTTATTTTACGAAAAGATGTGTAAAAAGTAGAGAGAAAAGGGAATCTTTGACTTTTCGATATAGGTTATTGATTTTTTTTTTTTTAATATCATTTTGACTTTTAAACTAAAAAGTAATATTGGCCTTGTTTGGTAGAGCTGTGAGAAAATGCTTATAACTTATGCCTTAACAGCTTATAGCTTATAACTATGAACATAAGCTGATTTTTGACTTATAAATTAAGCTTCTCATGCCCCACTCAAAGAATAAGCTGATTTTTTACTTACAAAAAGTTATATGTTGCATTGTTAAGCTAAACCAAACACATCGAAATAACTTAAATTAAACTAAAAGTTGAAATAAACTGAAAAAAAACTGTACCAAATAGGGTCATTGTCAAATGAGACTTTAGTATAAATTTCATGCTTTAGTTCCATCTGGCCACGACGGCGTCCGGATGGGCCCTACTGGGCGAATCCAACCCAGTTAAAAATACTTGGCCAGTTCTAAGTTGGTCCAGGCCCAAATACTTAACACACTCATGCTCAAGCCCAACAGTATGTGGATATGAACCCAGCCGAACAACATTATGAAATGATCACAAAAAAATTGTCACAATTCACACATAAAATTTATAATTAATTCACCTTACAATAGTTGTGGAAAGCAAAATGAATAAATTTGGTAGGATAATGTAAAAAAAATTGAGAAGTTAAAATGAAAAAACAAGAAGTGTGAGAAATTATGAGGACTGTGAATATTATTTTCTATTATTTTAATATATATATATATATTAGAACCCATGCATTCTTTTTTTTATCAACAAAATTTTTTTTTTATTAATAGTAATAACATACATCATATATTGATAACATCAATAAAGGAAAGACAAATCTGCTATTAATAACGTCAATATATATCACATATAAGTGTGCCTCAAATCTGCTATTACAACTTACAAATATGCAATTATAATTTAGTGTAATTGAAGACTATTGTAGAAGAAATGATAGTTACGCAATTATAATCTAGTGTAATTGAAGACTATTGATATTGTAGAAGAAATGATAGTTATAAAACGAAGCCACTTCCCATAAAGAAAAACAAAGGTAGCGTTTGGTAAAAATTTTTATATATGATTTAAGAATATGAGTTATATTTTGAATTTGTGAGTTTTAGAATTATAATTTGAGTGTGGAAAATTTGTTTGGTGAAAGAGTTTTGAATTGAACGAAAAAATTTTGATGTGACATATGATATTTGATACAAAAACTTACAACTCATAATTAAACATATAACTCAAAATTCTATTCAAAACTCATAAAAAAATTTAAAAAATTCTAAATTTTTTTTATTTAAAATATAAAAAATAACATGTTGCAATTGCAGAAAAAAAAAATTACGCTATTCCGATCATCCGGCCAGACGTCTGGGAGGACGACCGGTTAATCTAAATTTTCTCGTCTCAAACAGATTTTTAAAAGTAAGTGTAAAATTAATTTTTAAAAATTATAAATAAATATTAAACACAAATAAAAAGATAAAAATATATATAAAAAATATAACCAAACACAGCGAAAAACTTCATAACATCCCGCTTTCACTTTATATAGTAGCGTTGATAGATTAGATGGATAAATATGACGTTTCACAGTAAATGTGACAATTTGGGGCGACCATTGGTCAAATAGCAAAGATGTGGTGATTGCGAGTATTTTAAAAAACAAAAAATAAAATAAAATAATAATAAAAAAAAACAACTTATTTTATATCAATGTGTTAGCCATACATAAGATAGGTAAAGATGAAATTAATGTTGGTGTAGATTTTATGGTAATGCATTATTAATAATGAGTGGTATTATTAGCACTCCATAAATTATTTTGAACTTCTTAATTTTTAGTGTATTTTTTTATTATAATAATAACCTCAAATAAAATTGTTACAAAGGATATAATTAATTTTGGGACACGCCATCTCACAATTAAATTTACACATCCATTACATCATGAATTAGGGTTTTATAAAAGCACTCACCTTCATTACCACCCATCTATCTTTCTCAAATCCCACCTTCAAACCTACCCACCCTCAAAATCTTGAAAATCCTTTGGCGGCAATATTTTTGCAGTAACGGTGGCAACCATTTGATTACCTACACTAGGGATGAGCAGCGGATATACCGATCCGCTCAAACCGACCAAACCAAGCCGATCTGCCTCATTTTGGACGAATGCGTGATAACTAGCAGATGATTACGAATTGATTTTTTCCAATCCGCCTAGTTTTGGATGGATGGCGGATTTGAGGTTCCTTTGGCCGCAACCGAACTGTCAAACCATAAGCACTCATAATAATTTGTAAGACTTTGTGTTTTCAATTTGTTTAGATATTCTGTTTGTGTTTTCAATTGAAAAAAAAATTAAATATTCTATTAAATATATTCTGTTGAGAAAGAGTTGTCAACTTGAATATATTTTTTGAATTGAAAAAAACAAATCTATTATTTATATGTATATTTTGGTTTTTAAATTTAACTCTAAAAATAATAAATAAAAAAGATGATATATGCTGGTTGGTTTTTGTTTTCAAAAATATGTATAAATGTAACAATAAAGAGACATATAATCTCTACTACTACTCTGTTCATGGTTTTGATGGTTTGAATTATTTTTATATTTTAAGAATCACATATTGTAATACTTTATATGGATGAGACATCTTGTAATTGTAATATATAGATGATGCATACAGTGATTGTAATATTCTAAAGTTTCAAATTTTCTTTTTTTGAATGAGGCATGTAGTGATTATAATATTTTTTTAAGTCATTGACTGTAATACTGTCTTTTTTTTTTTTGGAGGAAGTGCGCAAGTTGAATTATGTTGAAAATTTATAAAATTTTAAACCGCCAAACCGATTCGCGTCCATCCGCTAATCCGTCAATCCATTCAATCCACATCCGCCAGATTAACGGACGGATAACAGATTGGAGATTCCGTGGCCACAACCGACCCGTGTCTACCCCTAACCTACACTTCTTTGGCAATGACAATGAGTTGAAGTTTTCTGGCAATCAAACTCCATAAGACGAAAGGAGTACAATAATAAAAGCTTATAGAAGATTTATAACTTTGATGTTATTCTTAGCTCAAAGAAAATTAGCCTAGTAAGGGTAAGTTTCTTGAAAAAAATGGCAAAAATAAAAAATCTATTTGTCATTTTTTCTGAACTGAACTTCCACACATATGATCAAAATTCAGGAACACAGGCCCAAACATTATTTATTTGTTCGGGAACCGGTAATTGAACATTTATTGTTTATTCGAAAACAAGTAACCGAACATTATTCATAGGTTCAAACTTGTTTTACTGATAAAACTAAACCAATTATTATAGGTAGCATTTGGTATAATTTTCTAAATATGATTTGAAAATAAGAGTTGTATTTTGAGTTTATGAGTTTTGGAATTATGATTTGAGTGTAGAAAATTTGTTTAGTGAATGAGTTTTGAAAAGAGTTTTGAATTGAGTGGAAAATTTTTGATGTAACATATGATATCTGGTACAAAAACTTACAACTCATAACCAAACACACAACTCAAAAACTATAAAAAACTCATAAAAAATTTTAAAAAATTTCAAATTATTGTTTTATTAAAAAAAAAATTGCATTGTCCAGCCGAACGTCCGAGGGGACGACAGATAAGCCAAATTTCAAAATTTAAAAGTTCTCTTGGAACGAGTTTTCAAAAGGGGGGGGTGGAATTAATTTTTCAAAACTCAAATCAAACATCATACTAGAATCTAGGGGTAGAACTGTGATTCCAAAACCCTTCCAAACACAAATTGTTTTTTGCAAAACAATAAATTATTATGAAAAAATTAAGAAATTATATGTGTGTATATATCTATATAATAAGGGAAGAGGATTTTTGAATTTATCCTAGAGACAATTGTCCTACTAGGACATTTTAATGATCATGATTCATTTGTGTATTTAAATGGACGGCTGAGATGACCCCCTTAAGTATATATCAAATTTACTTCCCGCCCAAACAACAAGCTTCCTGCTTACCCACGTCTCCCTTCCATTCT